TGATGGGTTGTTTTATTGCAGTTTGCTGTTGTCAGGAGGTCTTCATTCAGATGCAGATATGTTAAGGTCATTTTGCTTTGTCTGGGGATCTTTCTGAGTTTCATGGTGGATATTGAGATATGTGGGACAAGTGTGATTATGTATTAGGTTAGAGGACATGTTGCTTGTCCTGCTTGGGAGAGGAGCCAAGGCTGGCAGGAATAGCTGGAAAAGTGTGCTGCACTTAGATCTCTCAAGTAGTAAATTGGAGTGAGATGCCTCTGGAAGTCTTCCACAGAGTTATTTTAAACTTGAGGTTGTACTGCTTGTGTTTGATTAACGTAGGGTTCTCTCTTAAGGGGCACATGAAGGTCTTTCTCCACTGCTTCTGCTTTAGTCCAGGCCTTCATCTTATGCTTGGATTATTATCATAGTCTCCTTTGCTTCCACCGTGCCACTTACATCCAAGTATCACATTGCCGTGGGCCTGTACCCTTTGTAGGCACATAAGGCTCTGCGTTTAGTTTAGTGCTCTGCTGTTGTCATCTCGAAATTCTTCATTTTCCAAGAGGTACATTTTCAGTTTGCACTAGTCCCTACGATTTCAGTAGCTGGTCTTGGCTCTAGGAATAGCATTTCTAAAACGACTTCAAATTCCTCGAAGTTCACACTCCTTATCCTGCCCATCGAGCACCATCTCTTACTGGTGTGCTTTTCTTTGAGTGTCAGTGCTCGAAGAAGTTCCTCCAGGTATACCAAATGGCCCCGCACCTCCACTACATTTGCTGTTGGTGTTTCCTTCTTCTCATTTCCCCTACCCAACTTGGTTCACTTCTATTCATGTTTTGAAATGCTGCAGAAATAAGACTGGGCTGTGAAACTGAATATGACTGTTTTTTGGTTTTTTTTGCTGTTTGTTTGAGATGAAATCTTGCTCTGTCACCCAGGCTGGCATGATCTTGGCTCACTGCAACTTCCACCTCTTGGGCTCAAGCTGTCCTGCCTTAGTAGCTGGAATTAGGTGTGCACCACCACACTTGATGAATTTTTATATTTTTAATAGAGGCGGGGTTTTCCCATGTTGGCCAGGCTGGTCTCAACCTCCTGACCTCAGGTGATCCTCCTGCCTTGGCCTCCTAACGTGCTGGGATTACAGGTGTGAGCCACTGCGCCTGGCCTAATATGACCATCTTAACTAGTTATGATCATACTTTGTTTGTGTTATATCTCTTTTCAAAAGTTTCCTATCTGGTGAGGTTGGGCCATATTTAATCTTGAGATAATGGTTCTGTAATAACTCTCCAAGAAAATCAGATTGATTTTTGCCAGGTAAAAGAAGATTCTCTTATCTTCAGGGTGTTCATTCATGCAACATATTTAAAAAAATTTTTAATGTAAATTTAATTATTTGAAACAGAGCCTTATTCTGTCGCCCAGGTTGTAGTTCAGTGGTGTGATCTTGGCTCACTGCAACCTCTGTCTCTTGTGTTCAAACTGTTCTTGTGCCTTAAGCCTCCCAAGTAGCTGGGATTACGGATGTGCATCACCATACTCGGCTATTTTTTTGTATTTTTAGTAGAGACAGAGTTTCGCTGTGTTGCCCAGGCTGGCCTCAAACTCCTGGCCACAAGTGATCCACCCACCTTGGCCTCCCAAAGCGCTGGGATTACAGGTGTGAGCCATCAGCCTGGCCCATGTAACACATTTTTATGGGGCATCTAATCTATGCCAGACAATATTTTAAGCACTGAGGATGTGGCATTGAACAAACAATTTTAACTTTTCCTTCACTGAGCTAATAATTTCTAGTAGAGAGGGCAGAAAGAAAGTGAGTGAACAAATACCTTAATATATAATTAGATCCAGAGTTCTAGAAAACAAGGCAAAGTACACATTTTGGTCTTTCACCTTGGAAGATTTATATTTGTTGTTTATCTACTTTAAAGTTTGGTGGATAAGACTAAGAATGAGGCTCTGGGCCTGGCGTGACTGTTGCAGAGTAGGACAGCATCCAAATTGTCAGTTGCTCCATGCATCTTTTCTGATAGTGATTGTTTAGACATAGAACATAGATACCACACAGGTACTTCGCAGGAAAACTGAAAACATACACTCTCACAATGTATACAGACTTTTACTGCAGCGTTATTCATAGTAGCCAAAAAGGAGAAGACAAGCCAAATATCCGTTAACTAATATATATATATATATATATATATATATATATATATGACTAAAATGTGGCATAACCATACAATGAAATGTTATTTAGCTATAAATAGGAATGAAATATTGATACGTGGTACAACATGAATGAACTTTGAAAACATTATGCTAAGTGAAAGAAAACAGTCACAGAAAACTGTATGATTCTGTTTATAAGAAGTGTCCAGAGTAGGCAAATCTATAGAGGCAGAATGATTAGTAATTGGTGGGGGCTGGAGGGAGAAGAGAATAAGGAGTGACTACTGATGGGGCTGGGCTGCTTTCTGAAGTAATGAAAGTGTTCTGAAATGAGGGAGTGGTGATGGTTGCACAACATTAAGAATATAGAGAAAGCTGCTGAGTTGTACTTTTTAAAATGGCTAATGTTAAGAGTGTGTGAATTAGTGCAATAAAGCTGTCATAAAAAATCCTGGCATGACCGTCTATCTGAAGGTGAGGATCTTAAGAAGATGAAATGAAATGAAATAACATAAAGCACTTAAAGCCCAGTGCCTGGGTTATAGTATGCACTCAACTAATGGTTATTGTCGCTCTTAGAATAATACTGCTTAAATATCTGTAAGCTGGAACTTTTATTCACTGCAACATCTCTAGAATATGACCTGTTATGGGGTATGCAGTCATTAAGTATCATACTTGTCGAATGAATGCCACTCATTCACATTCATGTTCAGTCACATTCACCAATATGGCTGGCTTTCTTGTTTCACTTCTTGCAGCATGTTTGTGAATCTGCATCAGTTGGGCCTGCATTTTGAGCTTCTTGTCTAGTGGTGGTACCCAAGAGATATGGAGCTCTTCACAGCACATATCTTCAGTGCTTAAGTTGGGGTTGTGGCATACAGACTGAGTCTTGGGAAGCAAGGGCTCTATATAAATTAAAGGTGAAAGTGGGGAGGCCAGGCCCGGTGGCTCACACCTGTTATCCCAGCACTCTGGGAGGCAAAGGTGGGCGGATCACTTGAGGTCAGTCAGGAATTGGTGACCTGCCTGGCCAACATGATGAAACCCTGTCTCTACTAAAAATACAAAAATTAGCCAGGTGTGGGCGCCTGTAATCCCAGGTACTCGGGAGGCTGAGGCAGGAGAATCGCTGGAACCCAGGAGGCGGAGGTTGTGGTGAGCTGAGATTGCGCCACTGCACTCCAGCCTGGGCAACTGAGTGAGACTCCGTAGCCAAAAAAAAAAAAAAGTAAGTGGTGTCAAATGATTTTTGAGCCTTTTTCTAGTAATATAATTCTGCTTTGTGTTTTTATTTTTACTTATTTTTTTGAGATGGAGTCTCACCGTCACCTGGGCTGGAGTGCAGTGGTATGATCTTGGCTCATTGCAACTTCTGCCTCCTGGGTTTAAGTGATTCACCTGCCTCGGCCTGCTGAACAGTTGACATTACAGGAGCCCACCACCATGCCCAGCTAATTTTTTTTTTTTTTGAGACTGAGTCTTGCTCTGTCACCCAGTGCAGTGGCGCGGTCTTGGCTCACTGCAACCTCCACCTCCTGGGTTCATGCAATTCTCCTGTCTCAGCCTCCTGAGTAGCTGGGCTTACAGGCGCCCACCACCACACCTGGCTAATTTTTGTATTTTTAGTAGAGACAGAGTTTCACCATGTTGGCCAGGCTGATCTCAAACTCATAATCCCAGGTGATCCTCAAGCTCCCAAAGTGTTGGGATTACAGGCATGAGCCATCATACCTGGATTTTCGTGTTTTAAAAGAACTGAATTGGTCTGTCTAGAATGTGATTCTTAAGGGTTCATTATCAGTTACCCCAAGAGCAGAGGATTTCACTTGTGGTTAAAAAAAAATAAAACACAAATTTAGTTCTTGGAAATGTACAGATTTAAACTGATGGTTTGTTTTACTAAATGCAACTCACAATTTCTACATATAGGAAATTAGTATTTTAAATGAAGATAGAAGCAGCTTTCCCCTGAAAGTATTTGTGTGGTTTTGTTAAAACTTCACATCCTTTTATGAACTTGGCATTCCACTAATAACTCTGAGTTGCTTTTACAGCTGTGTCAGCAAGGTGCCATCTTCTTATATTGAAGTTCATGAAAAGACATAAAGCTGTTGTTTGTATTATGTGACATTCTTTTTAGACCACTGGAACTTGTTTCCTTTGGTCTCTCTAAGGAATGATTGTGCTTCTCATCTTCCTTTAGTCTTCTGTACATTGTGTGGTTGATTACGTTTCTTGTTACCATAAACTGTTGAGAGGCACAGTGCCCAATTTGTGGCTTACCTCTAGGAAGTATCCAGGGTTTCTCTTTATCAGTCTTTCATGTATCATCCTTCTTCTTGACTTTATTTTCTACTCTTATTTTTTTCTTGCCCAGTTTATGTATTTTTCTTTTTTGGAGACGGGGTCTCCTCCTGTTGCCCAGGCTGGGAGGCAGTAGCACAATCAGTAAGCTTGAGCTCATTGCAAGCTCAAACTCCTGGGCTCAAGTGATCCTCCCACCTCATCCTCCCAAAGTACTGGAATTACAGGCATGAGCCACCATACCTGGACACTCTTTCTTCCTTTTTTTGGTGTGTATGTGTGTGAGGGGGGTGTTATGCTGTCTCAAAGAGCTCCTTTTATAATTTTTTGGGAGATAAATGTGTTAAATAAGCAACAGTCCCACTTACTGAGGTGAATATTTTAAAAACTAAAAACATACCTACAACTACTTAAAAATTTCCTTCCATATCAAGAAGGATGGAGAGAAGGCAAAACTGTCAGAGTTGGTGAGCTTTTTGTTTGGGAAGCTTTCTTGAATACCTCTTTATTTCTTGTCTTTTTAATAGAAGTTGGTGAGATGGCAAAGCAATACATAGAGAAAAGTCTTTTGGTTCCAGACCATGTGATCACACGCCTAATGATGTCCGAGTTGGAGAACAGGCGTGGCCAGCACTGGCTCCTCGATGGTGAGTTGAAGCTGTGAGTAAACTGGATTTCTGGGAATTGTCAGTTAAGGTCTTGCACACTCTCTTAACTTCTTACCGATTGGAAAATGCCTTATTGTCTAAACTTTCTGTCATTTATTTAATATTACAATTTGGCAACATGATAGGAACCCATTGTGGTGAGGCCTCTTATTTCTTCTGTCTCCGGATCACCATCATGAGAACCACTAATTTGAAGCAAATCTTCCCCAAATTTCTGCTATTGCCTCATCCCTTATGTTTCCATAAGTCATCCTGAGTATAACTCCTCTTCAATCAGATGTTCTTTCATTCACCGCAGGACACACAAAATAAAACTATGAGTTATTATTTTTCACTTATCAGATTAACAGAGAAAGAACATCGGAAAATCCTTTGTGAAGGAAACAAATATTGTTGAAAGTATAAAATGAGCAACCTTTGGAGAGCAGTTAGCATTATATATACTTTCTGATCCAGCAGTTCCATTCTGGATTTCTGCCTAAAGATGCAAGGTTTATTTCAACGTTATTGGTAAATAGGAAGACACTGTTACTGACACTATAAAAGAATCACTATATACGTGGTACTCTGAGGACACAAAGGGGAAAATTATCTATTCTGTTGGTAGGAGGAGGGATTGGAAGAACTGTATGGAAAGTGATGAATAGATAAATGATCCTCACGTGGATGAATTGGGATAGGGAAGGTAGATTTTTTTTTTTTTTTTCCCCCAGCAGAGGGATAGTGTAAACAGAGTGAAAGGGGAATGAGTTATCTTAGTATTTTTCTGAGCCTGCAGGCAGAGGTTGCAGAGGAAATCCTGGGGTAGATAGCCTTTGATTTTGCATAAAGATGGTGGAACTGGAATTTGTTGGCTTTTTGAAGCACTGAAGAGTTGTTAAGTAGGGGTGTAATATCACATTTGTCTCTCAGAAAGATTATTCCATTAGCAGCATAGGAAAGATTAGGTGCTGGGGCATGGAAGAGAGTTGTGACTACAAACCAGAGATCATTGGAATAACTGGACTAAGGGATGTTGAAGGCCTAAATTTAAGCAATAATAGCAGTGGGATGGAAGAGGGAGGCACCATTCATAATAGAGTGAATTGAGGAGAAAGAATTGATAGGAGGTGTGGCTGATATTAGGTACTACAGCCCCAGGGTTTTCTTTTATTGCCTTCCAGGCTTTTTGAGTTTCCTAGTTTTCATAACCCTCTCTACACTAGAGAGGGTAGTGTAGAGTTTCATAACCTAGGCTTGTTAATTTCTCTAGAATCTACTTTCAACCCACAAAAGTTAGCCCTTTTCTTAGTCTGTTTTCTGCTGCTACAACAGAATATTTTGAACTGGGCCATTTATAAAGAAAAGAAATTTATTTCTCACCAGTTCTAGAGGCTGGAAAGTCCAAGAGCATGGTGTTAGCATCTGATGAGGGCTTTCTTGCTGCACCGTCCCTGGCAGAAGGCATCACATGGGGAGGAAGTACATGCCTCTGAGAGGGAATGGGAGCTGAACTTACTCTTTTATCAGGAGCCCATTGTTCTATCTAGAGCCCACTTCTCTCATAAGAGTGTTCGTTCATTCATTCATGAGGGCAGAGCCCTTATGACCTAATGACCTCTTAAAGCCTCCATCTTCCATTACATGACAATACCAATTAAATTTCAACTAAAATTAAATTTAATTAAAATTAAAATTGAATGTCCCCTCCATTCAATTGAATGGAGGGGACATTCAAACCTTAGCATTCTGCCCCTACCCACCTCCCCACAAAAAACAACTCCTGTCCTTCTCAGATACAGAATACATTCATTCTATCCTAGTAGTCCCCAGAGTCTTAACTTGGTCTAGCATCAACTCAAAAGTCCAATCTGAATCAGACATGGGTGAGATTTATAAGGTACAATTCATTCTGGGACAAATTCTCTTCAGCTGTGAGCCTGTGAAATTCAATGCAGGTCATCTACTTCCGAAATGCTATGGTAGGAAGGAGTTTGATGGACATTACCATTCCAAAAGAAGAAATAGGCCAGAAGAAAGGAGTAAGTGGTCCCTGATAAGTCCAAAATACAACAGGGGAAACATTAAGTCATAAAGATGGAGAATATCTCCATCTACCCCACATTCTGCCTCCTGGGCGCACTGGGATGGGAGTTGGGCTCCCAGGGCCTCAGAAGCCCCACCCCCTGTGACTTTGCTGGCTCAGTCCACTCAGCAGCTGTCATGGGTTGGAGTTGTATACTGGTGGATTTACAGTTCTGGGGTGTTGACAGTGGCCCACTCCCATGGCTCCACTAGGCATTGCCCTAGTGGGGACTGTGTGGCAGCCTTGACCCCACAGTTCCACTGGGCATTGTCCTAATGGGGGCTGTCTGCCGTGGCTCTATCCTGCAATAGGTCTCTGTCTGGGCATCCAAGCAGTCCCTGGCATTCTTTGATATCTAGGTGGAAGAAGCCATGCCCTGCAGGACTTGCATTCTGGAGCCATGCCTGAAGCTGTTTGAGTCATGGCTGGGGAGGCCAAAGAATGCTATCCATCTCCTGAAACCAGCCTACCATTCTAGAGCTCTGGGTCTGTGATGGGAGGGGCAGTCTAGTGATCTCTGAAATGCCTTTGAGGTCTTTCTTCCATTGTCTTGATTGATAGCACCTGGCTTCCTTCTACCCATGCTTGAGCAATAGGTTGTTTGACCACACACTTACTATTCCCTCTTGAACATACTTCTCCACTCCTTACATGGCCATGCAAGAATTTTCTAAATTTTTCTGTTTTGCTTCTCTTTTAACCATATAGTTATCCCTCAGTATCTGCCGAGGGTGAGCGGTGTGGGAAGGGATTGGTTCCAGGACCACTCCCTCATACCAAAATCCATGCATATTCCAACCCTGTGAAACCCACGGATATGAAAAGTCAGTCCTCCATGTGCAAGGGTTTTGCATCCTGCAAATACTGTATTGCATTTGGCTGTGAATGTGGAACCCGGTGATATGGAGGGCCAACTGTATTTACTGAAAAAATCCTTGGCTGGGTGTGGTGGCTCATACCTGTAATCCCAGCACTTTGGGAGGCCGAGGTGGGCGAATCACTTGAGCACAGGAGACCAGCCTGGGCAACACTGCAAAATCTCATCACTACAAAAATTAGCCAGGTGTGGTGGCATGTGCCTGTGGTCCCAGCTACTTGGGACTGAGGTGGGAGGATCACTTTAGCCCGAGAGGTTGAGGCAGCAGTGAGGCATGATCACACCACTGCACTCCAGCCTGGATGACAGAGTGAGACCCTGTTTCAAAAGAAAAGAACAAATTTTGGTATAAAGTATGTCCTCAGAGTTCAAACCCATGTGTTCAGTGGTCAACTGTATTTGATCATCTCTCTGCTCTCACATCTCATTTTATGCAATTAAAAGTAACCACACAGCAGCTTGAATGCTTTACTACTTAGAGATTTCTTCTACCGCATATCCTAGTTCATTGCTCTTAAGTTTTGCACTCCATAAAGCTCTAGGACGTGGACATAATTTGCCAAGGTCTTCGCAGCTGTCTAACAAGAATAACATTTACTCCATTTTCTAATACCTTCTTTTACATTTCTGTCTGAGACCTCATCAGAATGGCCTGTAGTATCCAATTGCTGCTAACATTCTGGTCGTGACCACTTGAGTAGTTTCTTTTTTGAGATGGAGTCTCACTGTTGCCTAGGCTGGAGTGCCGTGGCATGATCTCGGCTCACTGCAGCCTCCACCTCCCAGTTTCAAGTGATTCTCCTGCCTCAGCCTCCCAAGTAGCTGGGATTGTAGGCATATGGCACCATGCCCAGCTAATTTTTGTATTTTAAGTAGAGATAGCGTTTCACCATGTTGGCCAAACTGGTCTTGAACTCTGATCTCAGGTGATCCGCCTGCCTCGGCCTCCCAAAGTGCTGGGATTGCAGGTCTGAGCCACTGTGCCTGGCCCCCTTGAGTAATTTTTAAGAAGATTCAGACCTTCCCTACAGCTCCCCTCTTCTTTTGAGTTCTCACCGTAATTGCCCTTGATGCATCATTCATGGCAATTTAGGGAGTTTCTAGCTGCCTCCTCCAAATTCTTCCAGCCTCTACCCATTACCTGGTTCCAAGGCTATGGCCACATTTTTAGGTGTTTGTTATGGAAACAGCCCCACACCTTGATATCCATTTTTTGTCTTAGTCTGTTTTGAGTTGCTATAACAGAATACCTCAGGTTGGATCATTTATAAAGAAAAGAAATTTATTTCTCACAGTTCTGGAGGCAGGGAAGAGTAAGACCATGGTGCTCCTATCTGTTGAGAGTCTTTTTGCTGTGTATTGTAACCTGGTAGAAGGCAGCACATGATGAGAAGGTTCACACAAGAGAGGGAATAAGGGGTTAAACTTAGGTTTTTTCAGGAGCCCACTCCTGAGATAAACAACCCTATTAATCCATTCATGAGGGCAGAGCCCTCATGACCTGATAATTTCTTAAAGGCCCCACCTCCCAATGCCTTTAAATTGGCAATTCAATTTCTACATGAGTTTTGGAGGAAACATTCAAACCATAGCACCCCTAGTGCTTTTTGTGTGGGTATTTATCACAACTGATAAACTTTGACTTTGCCACCACTTAACAGTACCTCTAGTTTAAATTTTTAAATTGTAAGTCCTCTCACCTTGCAAAATGAGTTAGTGTAGGTTTAGTGAACTTAAAATTCCTGTGTTTAAAAAGGATCATCTGTGTTAAACTCTAGAAAGAGGGTTAGTGTAATAATTGAGAGCATGGACCCTGATGCTGCCAGACTGCCTGACTTGAATCCCTGCTCTGCCACTTTCTGGCAGACTGTGTGACCTTGGGCCTCTGATTGCTCATGAAACACAGATTAGCAAAGAGGGGCAGAGTGAGCAAATATGTATAAAGTGCTTAGAAGAGTGCTTGCTTTATGTAAGGACTATATGAGTGTTTGTCGTTATTTGTTGTGACTAATGTACGGGTCCTGAATTTTGGGGGTT